CTCCTACCTCTACACTGAACCACGCCCCTTCCCCCACTCCTACTTCTACACTGAGCCACGCCCCTTCCCCCACTCCTACCTCTACACTGAACCCACCCCTTCCCCCACTCCTACCTCTACACTGAGCCCACCCCTTCCCCCACTCCTACTTCTACACTGAACCACGCCCCTTCCCCCACTCCTACTTCTACACTGAACCACGCCCCTTCCCCCACTCCTACTTCTACACTGAGCCCACCCCTTCCCCCACTCCTACTTCTACACTGAACCACGCCCCTTCCCCCACTCCTACTTCTACACTGAACCACGCCCCTTCCCCCACTCCTACTTCTACACTGAGCCACGCCCCTTCCCCCACTCCTACTTCTACACTGAGCCCCGCCCCTTCCCCCACTCCTACCTCTACATTGAACCACGCCCCTTCCCCCACTCCTACTTCTACACTGAACCACGCCCCTTCCCCCACTCCTACTTCTACACTGAGCCACGCCCCTTCCCCCACTCCTACTTCTACACTGAACCACGCCCCTTCCCCCACTCCTACTTCTACACTGAACCACACCCCTTCCCCCACTCCTACCTCTACACTGAACCACGCCCCTTCCCCCACTCCTACTTCTACACTGAGCCACGCCCCTTCCCCCACTCCTACTTCTACACTGAACCACGCCCCTTCCCCCACTCCTACTTCTACACTGAACCACACCCCTTCCCCCACTCCTACCTCTACACTGAACCACGCCCCTTCCCCCACTCCTACCTCTACACTGAACCACGCCCCTTCCCCCACTCCTACTTCTACACTGAACCACGCCCCTTCCCCCACTCCTACTTCTACACTGAGCCACGCCCCTTCCCCCACTCCTACCTCTACACTGAGCCCACCCCTTCCCCCACTCCTACTTCTACACTGAACCACGCCCCTTCCCCCACTCCTACTTCTACACTGAGCCCACCCCTTCCCCCACTCCTACTTCTACACTGAACCACGCCCCTTCCCCCACTCCTACTTCTACACTGAGCCCACCCCTTCCCCCACTCCTACTTCTACACTGAACCACGCCCCTTCCCCCACTCCTACTTCTACACTGAACCACGCCCCTTCCCCCACTCCTACTTCTACACTGAGCCACGCCCCTTCCCCCACTCCTACCTCTACACTGAGCCCACCCCTTCCCCCACTCCTACTTCTACACTGAACCACGCCCCTTCCCCCACTCCTACTTCTACACTGAACCACGCCCCTTCCCCCACTCCTACTTCTACACTGAGCCACGCCCCTTCCCCCACTCCTACTTCTACACTGAGCCCCGCCCCTTCCCCCACTCCTACCTCTACATTGAACCACGCCCCTTCCCCCACTCCTACTTCTACACTGAACCACGCCCCTTCCCCCACTCCTACACTGAGCCACGCCCCTTCCCCCACTCCTACTTCTACACTGAGCCCACCCCTTCCCCCACTCCTACTTCTACACTGAACCACGCCCCTTCCCCCACTCCTACTTCTACACTGAACCACGCCCCTTCCCCCACTCCTACTTCTACACTGAGCCACGCCCCTTCCCCCACTCCTACTTCTACACTGAGCCCCGCCCCTTCCCCCACTCCTACCTCTACATTGAACCACGCCCCTTCCCCCACTCCTACTTCTACACTGAACCACGCCCCTTCCCCCACTCCTACACTGAGCCACGCCCCTTCCCCCACTCCTACTTCTACACTGAGCCCACCCCTTCCCCCACTCCTACCTCTACATTGAACCACGCCCCTTCCCCCACTCCTACTTCTACACTGAACCACGCCCCTTCCCCCACTCCTACTTCTACACTGAACCACGCCCCTTCCCCCACTCCTACTTCTACACTGAACCACGCCCCTTCCCCCACTCCTACTTCTACACTGAGCCCACCCCTTCCCCCACTCCTACTTCTACACTGAACCACGCCCCTTCCCCCACTCCTACTTCTACACTGAACCACGCCCCTTCCCCCACTCCTACTTCTACACTGAGCCACGCCCCTTCCCCCACTCCTACTTCTACACTGAGCCCCGCCCCTTCCCCCACTCCTACCTCTACATTGAACCACGCCCCTTCCCCCACTCCTACTTCTACACTGAACCACGCCCCTTCCCCCACTCCTACTTCTACACTGAACCACGCCCCTTCCCCCACTCCTACTTCTACACTGAACCACGCCCCTTCCCCCACTCCTACTTCTACACTGAGCCACGCCCCTTCCCCCACTCCTACTTCTACACTGAACCACGCCCCTTCCCCCACACTTACCTCTATAGAGAATCATGCCCCCTTCCCCCACCCCATGCTTTCTTCCCCCACCTCTATACTGAGCCATGCCCTTCCCCCCACCTCTACACCGAGCCACGCCCCTTCCCCCACACTTACCTCTATAGAGAATCATGCCCCCTTCCCCCACCCCATGCTTTCTTCCCCCACCTCTATACTGAACCATGCCCTTCCCCCCACCTCTACACTGAGCCACGCCCCTTCCCCCACACTTACCTCTATAGAGAATCATGCCCCCTTCCCCCACCCCATGCTTTCTTCCCCCACCTCTATACTGAACCATGCCCTTCCCCCCACCTCTACACTGAGCCACGCCCCTTCCCCCACACTTACCTCTATAGAGAATCATGCCCCCTTCCCCCACCCTATGCTTTCTTCCCCCACCTCTATACTGAGCCATGCCCTTCCCCCCCACCTCTACACTGAGCCACGCCCCTTCCCCCACACTTACCTCTATAGAGAATCATGCCCCCTTCCCCCACCCTATGCTTTCTTCCCCCACCTCTATACTGAGCCATGCCCTTCCCCCCACCTCTACACTGAGCCACGCCCCTTCCCCCACACTTACCTCTATAGAGAATCATGCCCCCTTCCCCCACCCCATGCTTTCTTCCCCCACCTCTATACTGAACCATGCCCTTCCCCCCACCTCTACACTGAGCCACGCCCCTTCCCCCACACTTACCTCTATAGAGAATCATGCCCCCTTCCCCCACCCTATGCTTTCTTCCCCCACCTCTATACTGAGCCATGCCCTTCCCCCCCACCTCTACACTGAGCCACGCCCCTTCCCCCACACTTACCTCTATAGAGAATCATGCCCCCTTCCCCCACCCCATGCTTTCTTCCCCCACCTCTATACTGAACCATGCCCTTCCCCCCACCTCTACACTGAGCCACGCCCCTTCCCCCACACTTACCTCTATAGAGAATCATGCCCCCTTCCCCCACCCCATGCTTTCTTCCCCCACCTCTATACTGAACCATGCCCTTCCCCCCACCTCTACACTGAACCACGCCCCCTTCCCTCACATCCACCTTTATTCAGAACCGTGTCCCCTTTAACCACTCACCCTTTCATCCCTCCCACCTCTGTACTGAACCACACCCCTGCTGCATTTTTTTTTTTTTTTTTTTTTTGAGATGCAGTTTTGCTCTTGTCACCCAGGCTGGAGTTCGAAGGCACGATCATGGCTCCCTGCAACCTCTGCCTCCCCAGTTCAAGCGATTCTCCTGCCTTAGCCTCCTGAGTAGCTGAGATTACAGGCACCCGCCACCATGCCCAGCTAATTTTTGTATTTTTAGTAAATACAGGGTTTCACCATGTTGGCCAGGCTGGTCTCGAACTCCTGACCTCAGGTGATGTGGCCTCCTCAACCTCTCAAAGTGTTGAGATTACGGGCAGTTTTAATTTTAGCCATTTTGATTGTATATAATATTATTTCATTGTGCTTTTAATTTGCTTTTTCCTAGTGGTTAACGATGTTGAACATCTTTTCATGTGCATACGTGCCATCTGTATAATCTCTCTGGTAAAATATCTGTTTATTATGTCTTTTGCCCATTTTCTGTTTTGTTTTTTTTTTTAACTGTTGAGTTTTAAGTATTTTAAAAATATATTCCAGGCCAGGCTAATGCCTGTAATCCCACCACTTTGGGAGGCCAGGACAGAAGGATTGCTTGAGACCAGGAGTTTTAGACCAGCCCGGCCAACATAGTGGACCTCAATCACCATAAAAATTAAAAATTAGCTGAGTGTGGTGGGGAATGCCTGTAGTCCAGCTATTAGGGAGCCTGAGGTGAGATGATTGCTTGAGCCCAGGAAGTGTGGTTGTGGTGAGCCATGACTGTGCCACTGTACTCCAGCCTGGGCTCAAGCCTTTTGACCCTGTCTCAAAAGGAAACAAATCAGAAAAACCCCAAATAGGGCCGGGCGCGGTGGCTCACACCTGTAATCCCAGCACTTTGGGAGGCTGAGGCAGGAGGATAACAAGGTCAGGAGTTCGAGACCAGCCTGGTCTATATGGTGAATCCCCATCTCTACTAAAAATACAAAAAATTAGCCAGGCATGGTGGTGCGTAGTCCCAGCTACTCTGGAGGCTGAGGCAGAAGAATCAATCGCTTGAACCCCAGAGGCGGAGGTTGTAGTGAGCTGAGATTGTGCCACTCTCCAGCCTGGGCAACAGAGTGAGATTCTGTCTTAAAAAAAAAAAAAAATATATATATATATACATACATATATATATACGTATATATGTATGTATGTAGACACATCTGGAATATATATACATATTTAGACATTTTGTCACATATGTGTTTATAAATATCTTCTCCTAGTCTGTAGCTTTTCTTTTCATCCTCTTCTCAAGGGTTTTCAAAAGAAAAAGTTTAAGTTTTGATGTGATCTGATTTATCAATTTTTCCTTTTATGGATCATGTTTTTGGTGTCAAGTTACCTTTTGGTCTTGAACCATATAAATGTATTTCATTTTCTAATAAAAAAGCATAATAAATAAAAGACACAGATCACAGTCTTAAAATGTCTACTGCATGCCACCTCAAATCCTCTGGCACATCAACTTTGAAAAAACCGATTCGGTGCCCAGAAGGCTCCCCAGTACATGGGGGTGGGCAGGAAGAAGGCTCCCAGCAGCTGCACTCACCAGTAATTCCCACCATTGGCTCTTTGCAGGTAAACATGTACGTGTTGTCACGTGTCCTATTTGCCCTGAGCCGCCTGGCCGTGGAGAAGGGCTACATCCCTGAACCCAAGTGGGACCCGTTCCCAGTGGTCACCGCGGTGGTGTGGGGGCTGGTGCTGTGGCTCTTTGAGTATCACCGGCCCACGCTGCAGCCCTCGCTTCAGTCCTCCATGACCTACCTCTATGAGGATAGCAACGTGTGGCACGACATCTCAGACTTCCTCATTTATAACAAGAGCCGCCCCTCCAAGTAATTCGGCTGTGGCTCAAGATTTGGCTCCTCGAAAACCCTCCCAAAGGATCCTGCCTTCTCAAGATCATGGGCCTCAGACTCCAGCTGGTGTTATCCCAGGGTTCCATTTGCCAAAGTAAAAGCACTGATTTTCAATCCCAGTGGGTACTCTTAAATGGTGGCACAAGTGGCCAAATCAGGCCAAGGAATCTAGGGCTTGGTTCCAGCTATAAAGCTGACTTCTGTGAGACTGTGGCCAGCCACACCCCTCTCTAGGCCTCAGAGGTCATGGAGCTCAGAGGAGGTCCCTGAGGTCTCTTTCTGGTGGGTATGTTCATTCTTCAACTGTTCTTATGTCACAGAGGGCTCCCTGCTGGTGGGCCGTGGATTGTCAATACTTTAAAAAACACTAAATTCCTCATCTAAGATGTTCTATTGGAGAAGTTCTAGAGACCCGCTGTCCAGTAGAAACAGTTGAGCCATACATGTAATTAAAATGTTTCTAGTAGCCACATTACAAAAAAGTAGTAGGCTGGGCGCTGTGGCTCATTCCTGTAATCCCAGCACTTTGGGAGGCTGAGGCTGGTGGATCACTTGAGCTCAGGAGCTTGAGACCAGCCTGGGCAACATGGTGAAACTCAGTCTCCACAAAAAATACAAAAAATTAGCTGGGTGTGGTAGCACACACCTGTGGTCCCAGCTGAGGTGGGAGGATCACTTGAGCCTGGGAGGTCGAGGCTGCAGTGAGCCGAGATCACACCACTGCACTCCAGCCTGGGCGACAGGGAGACCCTGTCTCACCAAAAAAAAAGTGACATTAATCTTAATTATAGATGTTAACACAAATTTCAAAAAGTTATTTCAACATATAATTAACATAATTAGTTATATATTTTGCACTCTTTTTTTGTATTAAGTCTTTAAAAATTGGGTATATGTTTTGCCACCCATATTTTCAAGGCTCAGTGGCCACATGTGGCTAGTGGCTGCTGTGACAGGCACCACAGATACAGAAAAACACTTGTATCCTCACCGAAGGTTCTAGTGGACAGTGCAGATCTAGAGCTAGAGGACATGGGTTTGAGTCCCCACTCCCCCACTGTGTAAACTTGGGGAAGGTTCTGGACCTCTCAGAGCCTCAGTTTATCATAAAATGAGGATAATTAGACTGCCCTGGTCCTCATTGGACTTGGGCAACTACCACTGCTGCACTCCTGTGAATTACTTCCATTTAGTGCATTCATCCTCCCTCTTTGGTGTTTTGCACATATTATTATTAATTATTATTATTATTATTATTATTTGAGATGGAGTCTCACTCTATCACCCAGGCTGGAGTGCAGTATCTTGGCTCACTGCAACCTCCACCTCTCGGGTTCAAGGGATTCTCCTGTTTCAGCTTCCTGTGTAGTTGGGACTCCACGTGCATGCCACCTTGCTTGGCTAATTTTTTGTATTTTTAGTAGAGACAGGGTTTCACCGTGTTCCCCAGGCTCATGGCGAACTCCTGAGCTCAGGTGATCCACTTACCTTGGCCTCCCAAAGTGCTAGGATTACAGGCGTGAGCGGCTGCGCCCAGCCTTATTATTGTTATTATTTTAAAATAGCAACAGGATCTCACTCTGTCACTAGGGGTAGTCTCAACTTCTGGCTTCAAGCTATCTTCCTGCTTCAGCCTCCCAAAGTGCTGTGATTACAGGCATGAGCCACTGTGTGCATTGTAATCACATACAATGGCCTTGCAAAGATGCGTTTTGATCCCCATTTTACAGATTTAGAAACTGTGGGTCAGGCCTGGCGCGATGGCTCACACTATAATCCCAGTACTTTGGGAGGCCAAGGCAGGCAGATCACCTGAGGTCAGGAGTTCTTGACCAGCCTGGCCAACGTGGTGAAACCCCATCTCTACTAAAAATACAAAAATTAGCTGGGCATGATGGCACACCCCTGTAATCCCAGCTATTAGGGAGGCTGAGGCAAGATAATTGCTTGAACCCAGGAGATGGAAGTTGCAGTGAGCCGAGATGGAACCCCTGCACTCCATCCTGGGCCACAGAGCGAGACTATGTCTCAAAAAAAAAAAAAAAGAAAGAAAGAAAGAAACTGAGAATCAGAGAGGGGAGTAACTTGCCCAAGGTAATACAAATAGTGTAATAGCCAAATCAGGATTTGAACTCAGATCTTTCTGATTTCAAAGCCCATGTTTTCTTTAGTGCCTTGCTTCAAATTTAGAAACCTAAGCCATGCTATGCAAACATTAGCTCATTATAGGATACAGACTAGAAAGGCATACAAATTTAAATGCCCACAGGAGCCTACAGTGACATAAATTGAAACATTCAGTATGCTATGCAGTGGGGAGGGATGGGGAATGGGGAACTGAAGACTTGTGTGCCAGTCTGATTTTTGCAAAACCATGATCCGGGACTGGGCACAGTGGCTCACACTTGTAATCCCAGCACTTTGGGGAGGCCCAGGCGGGCAGATCACCTGAGGTCAGGAGTTCAAGACCAGCCTGGCCAACAAGGTGATGCCCCGTCTCTACTAAAAATGCAAAAATTAGCTGGATGTGGTGGTGGGCACCTGTAATCCCAGTTACTCGGGAGCCTGAGGTAGGAGAATCTCTTGAACCTGGGAGGCTGCAGTGAGCTGAGATTGTGTCATCACACTCCAGCCTGAGTGACAGAGCAAGACTCAGTCTCGGCCAGGTGCGGTGGCTCACACCTTGGGAGGCCAATGCAGGCGGATCAAAAAAGACTCAGTCGCAAAAAAAAAAAAAAAAAAAATACAATCTTGGACAAATCAAACAAGTCTCCAGGAAAATTTGGTCCGTGGGCTACCAATCTGAGAGCATTGGTCTGGTAGATATGCTTTCATTAATATACTTACTCCATCAGTCTCTATTTTTTAGACATTACTAGTAGAAATGTATACATGAGTCACTGGAGATCTTATTAAAATGCAGTTTCTGATCCAGTGAGCTAGGGTGGGGCCTGAGAGTCTGCATTTCTCCCAGGCTCCCAGGTGCTGCCAGTGATGCTGGTCTGAGTAACAAGGGGGTGGGGAATGATATGGAGCCATCCATTGTTATCCCATCTGACAGATGAGTCACAGAGCCTTAGGTAACTGAGGTGGGATCACTCTGATTCTGTAAGCTGTGTTTTTAGCCACAATATTTACTGCAAACTTGGAGCAGGTGATGTTGAAGCTCTTTTAACTTGCTGTGGAGGCTGAATGAGCTCTAGGGCAAGGGGTCTGCAACCCCAGTGTCCATCCATGGCCTGTTAGGGACCGGGCTGCACAGCAGTAGTTAAAAGGCATGAGCCAGGGAAGCTTCATCTGTATTTACAGCCACTCCCCATTGCTCACATTCCCACCTGAGCTCTGCCTCCTGTCAGATCAGCAGAGGAGTTAGATGCTCATAGGAGCGCAAACCCTGTTGTGAACTGCACATATGAGGGATCTGGGTTGCGTGATTCTTATGAGTCTAACGCCTGATGATCTGTCACTGTCTCCCATCGCTCCCAGATGGGACCATCTAGTTGCTGGAAAACACACTCAGGGCTCCCACTGATTCTCCATTATGGTGAGTTGTATAATTATTTCATTATATATTACAAAGTAATAATAATTGAAATAAATTTCACAATAAATGTAATGTGCTTGAATCATCCTGAAACCATGCCCCCTCCCCACCGGTTCGTGAAAAAATTGTCTTCCATGAAACTGGTTCCTGGTGCCAGAAAGGTTGGGGACCGCTTCTCTAAAGGTTGGGGAACGCAGAGGGCTTCGGCCCTCAACAAGCAGGTTTTATAGCAGATGGTGGGGGTGCCCTGCCTATAGCCCCTCTATCTAATCACTCTTGTGCACACCAGCCAGCTTTGCCAGTGGCCGCCCCTCTGTCTCTCTGCCTGAGGACTCTAGCTTGTCACTGGTGTCTCCTCTGCCAGCCTGTGGCAGGCCCGAAGGGCTGAGAAATGAACACATCCCTGGAGCAACCCTCAACCAATGACTGATAAATACCTCCACTCCCACAGCCCACAGCCCTCACCCCTCAGGTGGGATAACTCAGAGGTACATGCTCCACACTGACTCCAAGAGCTCCCCAGCAGGGCTGAACCTCAAATACCCTCCCCATCTCCCTTCCTCATGCCCCTAGCAGTGCTTCCTGGGACCACTTTCCATATGAACCACTTGCACTCAAATCCGTGTCTTAAAGTCTGCTATTGGGGAAACCCAAACTAAAATTGGCCTCTGTACAGCAGGTTGAGAGGCAGTATAGCACGATGGTCAGGGATGTAGGCTTTGGAGCCAGAGTACCTGGGCTCAAGCCCTGGCTCTACAATTTCCCTGGGCAAAGGACTGAGTAACAGCACACACCTCGAGTGCTCTGGAGGGTTGAAGAATATGACATGGTTAAATTGAGCCCTCAATAAATGCTGTTATTTCTAATAGAGCATCCAAATGTAGAGGAAGTATGGGACCTGGGGACCGAGCACACCCTGCTTTTAGCCTGTTCTGCCCTCAGCTGAAGGTGAAACCTTGGCCACCTGCCCTCCTGAAGTCCCCCCACTGCTGCTGGGAGTTGGCCAGCTCTGCTACTGACTGTCTCTGCTCTCTAAGAATAGGTTTCCCTCACAGATGGCATCTCTCTGGATGCTGCTAGAGCATCTGGTACCTCCAACTGCAAACTCCAGGGAGGAAGGCGGTGTGGTCCTCGACGGGGAGCAGAGCTCTGGCTTCCAGCAGATCTAAGAGGATCTCCGCCTTAGCTGAGCTCTATCCTCTGAGACCTGAAAAACAGAGATGGCCGGGGGCTCTTGTTGCACAGTAAGCATCATGCTTCCTAAATTCGTTCCTGAAATGGCAGAATGGTTTAACCTGTACTTATTAGGCACCTGCTACAATCCTGTTAATTCTTTTGACATGTAAGATTAAAAAATTTTGGCCGGGCGCGGTGGCTCAAGCCTGTAATCCCAGCACTTTGGGAGGCCAAGGCGGGTGGATCACGAGGTCAAGAGATGGAGACCACCCTGGTCAACAAGGTGAAACCCCGTCTCTGCTAAAAATACAAAAAATTAGCTGGGCATGGTGGCGCGTGCCTGTAATCCCAGCTACTCAGAAGGCTGAGGCAGTAGAATTGCCTGAACCCAGGAGGCGGAGGTTGCGGTGAGCCGAGATCGCGCCATTGCACTCCAGCCTGGGTAACAAGAGCGAAACTCCATCTAAAAAAAAAAAAAAAAATTTTTTTAAATCAATACTATACATAGTACAAAACTCAAAGTTATAAATAGTCTATGGCCAGGCATAGTGGCTCACACTTGTAATCCTAACACTTTGGGAGCCTTAAGTGGGTGGATTGCTACAGCCCAGGAGTTAGAGACCAGCCTGGGCAACATAGGGAGACCTGTCTTTATAATAATTACAAATATTAGCCTGGCATGGTGGCACACACTTATAGTCCCAGCTACTGGGGAGGCTAAGGTGGGAGGAGCACCTGAACCTGGGAGATTGAGGCTGCAGTGAGCTGTGATCGTGCCAGTGCACTCCAGCCTGGGTTACAGAGGGAGACTCATGCTCCCACCACACACACACACACAAAAGGCCGGGCATGGTGGCTTTCACCTGTAATGCCAGCATTTGGGAGGCCAAGGCTGGCGGATCTCTTGAGGTCAAGAGTTGCAAGACCAGCCTGGCCAACATGGTGAAACCCTGTCTCCACTAAAAATACAAAGATTAGCTGGGTATGGTGACATGTGCCTGTAATCCCAGCTACTTGGGAGGCTGAGGCGGGAGGATAGCTTGAACCCAGGAGGTGGAGGTTGCAGTGAGCCAAGACCACACTACTGCAGTGCAGTGGGTGACTGAGCGAGACTGTCTCAAAAAAAAAAAAAAAAATGTATAAAAGGGAAAAGTCAGGTTCCTTCCTACACCTGTGCTGCACCCCCAGGCTCTTCCTTTGCTGGGGCACCCACTGTTAGCATTTTCTCCTACAGCCTTCCTGGAATATTCTATGCACAGCCACCTATATTTGTCTTAAAAGGAACTTTTACATTGCAATATCATCTTAACTCGGACATGTCTTTCTTGTCCTCTGTGTGTCTGGTTTCTCTTTGATCAATAATCCCATATAAAAGTGAGTCTTCTTTGAGGCTGTTTTCTTCCCACATCCCCGACAGCTTCCCCCTCCTCCCCCAATATCTTGGGTAGATCCTTGCTGTGATCGGTGCAAAGATGACGACCCCAGGTGTCCTGAGCCTTACAGTAGAGGACACCAAGCATTCAGGCCCAGGGAACTCCCACTGAAAGGGGAAGGACAAAACCCAAGTTAATTTGGGCCTCTTCTGCTGCTCTGCTCCCAAATTAGAGATGCTAAGTGAACCCATGTGAGCTCAGTGACTCACAGGCCCAGACGCCAAGAAGCTGCCTTGTTTGATGCTGGCCACTGCAGCTTCCACATTGAGGCTCCAGAAGGGATTCTGGCGACAGTGTTTCCTTCCACATTGTTCACTTTTCCCTCCTGATGAGTGCATTTGGGGTATATAAGAATCATACTTTGAACCCGGCTCTCTCCTAAACCAGAACACTGTGCTGTGCTCTACCTCTCAAAATGAAGCCCACGTCACCACAATCTGTGACTTCAGATGGGTTGCTTTCTATGACAAATTTGATCTTTATAAAGATCAAATATGATCTTTATAAAAAGAAATTTTTTTTCCCTCCTTTTGTCTTGTTCCAGATTCACAGGGTAAGAGTTTGTCTTAGTTCAGCCTTGAAGGGCATTTGGGGTGAGCAGTTTTGCTTTTCAGCAGAGGGTGCCCTATAGAGTGGGACCCACTCTTGTGAGCTGGAGGGCGTGGCTGCCCGGGTAGAAGACAGAGAGAGATGATGATCATGTAGTCCTTCAGGTAAAAAGTAAAAATAAAATAAATTAATTAATAAAGATGTCAGAGGGAGAGCTCAGCTCTCTTCTGAGTATTGTTCTGAGAAAGGGCTTCTGAACGGAGGGCCCCTGTTTTCTGTGCCGGGACTCTGCTCAAAGCTGCTGCAGATGTCTTGATTTAATAAACAAGACAGAAACCAGGCAGAATGGAAGTGTGGGTCCCAGTGTCTGTGTCATAAACCTCATTCTCATTGCTCTTCCGGCCTCTCCCTCCAGCTTCTCCTCATGGGCTGGATGTCAGCCGGGAGAAGGATCAGAGCCAGACCACATCAGCTCCTTTAGGACACTCCTTTTTATTTTATTTTGTTTTTAAGATGGAGTCTCACTCTGTTGCCAGGCTGGAGTGCAGTGGCGCAATCTTGGCTCACTGGAACCTCCGCCTCCTGGGTTCAAGTGATTCTCCTGCCTCAGCCTCCCAAGTGGCTGGGACTACAGGTGTGCGCCACCATGCCCAGCTACTTTTTGTATTTTTAGTAGAGATGGGGTTTCACCATGTTGGCCAGGATGGTCTCAATCTCTTGACCTGTGATCCACCCGCCTCGGCCTCCCAAAGTGCTGGGATTATAGGCGTGACCCACTGCACCTGGCCGAAGCTGGCATGGTTTACTGAGTCCTGAGCACAGGAATCATACAAATACTAGCTAATGTTGGCCGAGTTCTTAGAAAGTACCAGGTGATGGTGGTCGCCAGGATTTACCGATGAAAGAAGCTAGTTCCTGCCCACGTTGGGCTCACAGCCTAAGGAGGGAAGTCCAACCAATGATGACCACATTCGAGAACTTCAGAGAGTGGTGGGCACCATGAAGTCATACAGGGCCACGTGATAGAAGGGCATGGGAGGAGAGAACGGAAGGCTGTTTTCCAGGACAGGCCTCTCTGAGGAGGTCGTGTTTGCTCTGAGCCCTGAGTGCTGAAGAGGGAGCGCTGCAATGCTGGAGGAAGTCAAGTTTCTGCAAGCGCACAGGCCCGGAGGTGGGAGCACCCCAAGGCGTTCCAAGACCCGGAAGGAGCCAGCCTGGCTGACCCAGTGCATGGGTGGGGCTCACAGATGAAGCTGGGAGACCAGCTGGCTCCACCAGGCAGCCTTCATGGGCCAGGGCAAGGGGTCTGGGTTTTTGTCTAAGTGTGGCGGGCAGCCTGTGGCAGGTTTAGGCAGGGGAGTGATGTGATATGGGTTACATTTGGGGAAGATCCTTTTAGCTGCTTGTATAGAACAGAGTGTAGGGGCCAGGCTGGCTGCATACATCCCAGTGAGGAAGCCACGCAGTAGTCCTGGAGGGAGACCAGGATGGGTGATGACAAAGGTAGAGAAGAGTGGGTACATCTGGGGTGCACTTTGGAGAGAAACACAGTCGCCCAGGGCTTTGGGGGTTGAGGAAGAGGGGTATAGTGAAGGATGCACATGTTTCCCCTCCTAGGCCTTGCCTCCCAGCTCAAAAACAGACCCTGACCTTCCTTACCCCATACCCCGCCTCCTCACTCCCCACAATGCCCTCCATGGCCCCTCAGGGGCCTGCCTCCTGCCCACTGGGCCCCTGGCATGCCAGGGCTTCCCAGCTGGCCCGATTGTTGTTACTCCCCAGGGAGTCATGGGAACACACTCCCCCTGCCCCCGCCACCCCCCCTCTTCCCAGACAGGGCCAGGCCCTAACAATGCCCCTCCGCCAGCCAGTGGCCTGGACACAATACCCCATTTCGGTTCGCTGCCAGCTCTA